CCTGCCCCTTCCTGGGGGGGCTCCTGTGTCCCTCCCCACAGGTGTTCCTGTCCCAAACTCGGGGTGCTCCTGTTCCCCCCCCGGGAGGTCCTGTCCTCTCCCCTGGGGCTCCTGTCCCCAGGCGCTCCAGTGCCCCCCCAAGTGCTCCTGTCCCATCCCGTCCCTGTCCCCAAGGTGCTCCCCGAGGTGTCCCCCCCCGAACGCTCCCTTGGTACCGAGAGCTGGGGAGGGGCTCCAGGGTGTCATGGGGGGCTCTGGGGTGCCGGGGGGTGACACTTCTCTCCCCCCTCTCCGCAGCCGCTCCGGATGTCCCTGATGTCCCCCGTGTGGGGGGCGGCCGCCCCCCGGCTGCTGCTGGCGCTGCTCTGCTTGGCCGCCCCGGCCGCCGCCCCCCCGCCCCCCAGCAGCCCCCCCGGGACCCCCCCGGGCCCCGCCGCGCCCCACAGCGACTCCCCCGTCCTGTCCCTCAACCTCGGCCTCAACTTCAAGATCAAGGTGCGAAGCCAGGGGGGGCCGCGCCCCCCCGCGCCCCCCACCCCTCCGGGCACCCCCAGGAGCCCGGGTCCCCCCCGGAGCGCCGCGCCCCCCACCCTGCCCGAGCCCGGCGATGAGCAGGGCTCCGCCGGACCCCCGGAGGAAGCGGGGCGCTGGGGGAGCCCCTCCGGCCCCGGGGCTACCACCCCCCGTCCAGGGCGCCCCCGGGACAAGCAGCTGGAGCTGGACATCGCCATCGACCTGACCGCGGGGCTGGACCCCCCCCCGGGGGGCTCGGGGGCGGCCGTGCCCCCCACCAGCCTGCTGGGTGCCGCCCCCGGCCGCCCCCGGCTCCTGCCGGGCCTCTCGAAGCTGGCCGGGAGACTCAGCGCCGCCGGTGAGTGCCCGGGACGGGCCGGCCCCCCCTGGGACCCCCCGAACCTGAGGGACCCCACAACACCTCGGTGCCCTCTTCTAGGGTTCCTGTTTCCCACGGTGCCCCCCAAGATCGGGGCCGAGGGGGGCAACGCGTCCCTGGAGCTGGAGGAGGCCGGGAGCGGCGCGGAGCCAGGTGGGGGGGCGGATTTGGGGG